GCAATGGAAAAAGAAAATAACTACACTCTCTTACTTGCACACTTGGGGCTATTTGGCGAAAGTCAATGTGCCGATCCCCAAAAAGCGTAAGCTTGGACCAAAGACTGTGGACTGCGTTATTTGGGCTACGCTAAGAATAGCGTTGGCTATAGATTTCTAGTAGTGAAATCTGAGGTACCTGACCAGAAGGTCGGTACAATTATAGAGTCTAAGGATGCTACATTAGAGGATATTTTCCCCATGAGAGATATGCAAAGCACTTCTAGACTGGAATCTAATGAGACTCCTGAACCTGCCATTCCGATGGAATACTATGAACATAAAAGTGATGAAAGCTCCACGAAGGATGACAAGAAAGCTCCTATTAGGAGCAAGAGACAAAGGACTGCAAAGTCTTTTGATGATGATTTCCTCGTGTACCTCGTGGATGATGACACTCCCAGTTCCATTTCAGAAGCTTATGCATCTCCGAATGCTGACTACCAGAAGGACGCGATCCGTAGCGAGATGGATTCCATCTTAGCAAATGGGACATGGGAGATCACTGATCGTCCTTATGGTTGCCAACCATTGGGATGTAAGTTGGTGTTCAAGAGGAAGCTTAGGCCCGATGGTACTGTTGAGAAGTACAAGGCTAGGCTTGTGGCCAAGGGTTATACCCAGAAGGAAGAAGAGGATTTCTTCGATACTTACTCACTTGTGGCTAGACTGACAACCATTCGAGTGTTACTCGCTTTGGCTGCCTCGCATGGTCTTCTCGTTCATCAGATGGACGTTAAGACGGCTTTCCTTAACGGAGAGTTAGACGAGGAAATTTACATGGAACAGCCAGATGGCTTTGTAGTAAAAGGTCAGGAAAGAAAGGTGTGCAAGCTAGTGAAATCTTTATATGGCCTGAAACAAGTGCCTAAGCAATGGCATGAGAAGTTCAATAACAATTTGACATCTGTTGGCTTCATTGTTAATACTCTCAATTCTGTAAGGCAGGCTGACTTTTGTCTTGATGTGTTCCAAAGCTTATGTAAGCAAGATGCTAACCTACAGAGCATTCTTTGAAGGAACACACCTATGTGAGCCCGACTGCTGGTCACAGTCTATGAGATTGGGTGATCTCTAGGAAGCTCATGAGATGGTATGGAGTATGACTAATAAGCTCCACCCGTGGGGTTTAGCCTTCGGCAGCCAGGTATCAGTTGGCAATAGGCGAAACTTCTGCATGCTAAACTGGCAATTCAAGGCATAGTCCATTGTTCAGTTGTGAAGAAGTCTAATTCTATTGCTCTAGGTGGAAGTTCAACTTAACAATTTCCACTGAAAATTTTGGTATATCAAACATTGTTTGGAACAGTTGACGAACTTATGTGCCTCGAGATCTGGTGGGGGTTGATGGATTATGGATGGGCTTAGGCCCATATAAGACAATAATCCCTGGTTAGTCTCTAAAGCCCATGCATGTGTAGGCAAGTGGTGGGAAGTGTGGGAAGTTTAGTCCCATACTGCGACAGTAAGAAGGGTGAGACCTTTTTATAAGGGTTGCTCTACCACTTGCTATTGGGAGCTTGGGAATAGGGGCTGTACATGCGCACTCCTCCTCCTCCACCGCCCGCCTCCCACGTCATGACGAGCGCGCGCCGCGGGTTGCGGGAATGAGCCGAGCCAAAGCTTATTTTTGCCGGTCAGAAATGGTTAATTAATTGTTAATTATTTAACGAGTCGCCTACGGAAGCGCCACTGTCCAAGACGTTGGACTGTGGGCTGTTCGCGGACTCGGTCGTGGGCCTGGCCCAGGACCATCTACCTGACGACCTATATAAGAAGGCGCTGGCCAGTGGAGTGAACCCTAACTCAATTCACTCACTCCCTCTCGCACAATCCTAGCCGTCATCTAGTGTTCCTCTCGCTGTGCTGCCTCCGGCGATCCCATCCCGACGACCGCATACACGATTGGTCGGCAGAGCAGGTGCCTCCGGAACCCTGTCGTTCAAGATCCTACCCGGGAGAACGACAATAAGGTTTTTGGGGAGTGTCTCGACGCAACTGCTCCCGATCATCCCCGTCTCCGTCCACCTCTCCTTCCACTACTTCCCCTACATCGACTCAATGGCTAACGATGAAGCTGCCAAGAAGAAGGCCTCGACCGATGCCGAGGCTACTGCTGCCGCCGCCGTGTTGGCCTGGCCAACCGGAGGGTATGACTCGTTCATCCCCTATTTGCTCGTTCATGACATGGACGGAAAAGAAGAGCAGAAAGAAGAGTAGCCGGTTATCTAACTACATGAGAGCGAGTGATGGGCTATCTAACTATTGTACTTGTTGGCTATAATTTTAGCTATAAATGACATGACAATATCATATAGCCATCAGTTGATTGTATTATTAACTATTCTCTAGGTGATATTGCATTCATTTGGTTTAGCGGATCACATGCGCATCTCAATATTGTAGCCTGGTTGTAAAGAGGAGAAAAGAAAAGAAAAAATAAGGAATCAAGCTGCACTGGATCAAAGCATTAACTACACTATGTAGAAAAACGTGCTAAAAGCCGTATCTCCACAAAATATAACACTCTTCTCTTTCTTCCTTAATTGATATGCCACAACAGCATTTTATCGACGAACTCTGTGACAAGAGACTAGCATTGTAAATGCCCTTAGAGCAAATAGTATAGTTAACTGATGGCTATATGATGTTGCCATGTCACATATAGCCAAACTTATAGCCTTCAAGTATAATTGTTAGATATAAGGATGTGCTACTTTATTCATGCATGACCCACCTCTCACTCTCACATAGTGCCTGGAGCATGTGCTGCAGCTGGCTTTTATTCTGTAGCTTGCTTCTTTTCTCTCTCCTCTTCTCTCCCCTCCATGTCAGCAGAAAAATAATATTTTAACTCTTATGGACCGCTTACATAAGCTTATTGTACTTGCTCTTAGAATTTTGCCCTCCTTTTCGTAGAAAACAAAAAAGAGAGTACTGCCCTCCTCACTTTAAACCCGGAAAGAGAAAGTAAATGACAAGCAATAGGAACACCATATTGCTGGCCCAATCGATCAAGTTACTTTATAAACTTTCCACAAACGAGTATGTTTCAGTTATACTACAAGGGAGATAGTACCAATTGTCGAGTATAACATCAAATAGTCCATCGGAGCACAAGGAAACAGAAACGACAAGTTTCATATAAACTTGTTTAACAAGCTGCATATATAGAACACAAATACAGGTAGTACGCCCATCGGCCCAACCGCGCAAGGTTGCTTGATTGAAAAGACAGCTATAAATGGCTGGTGTCAACACTAGCCCTACCAAATGTTGGTAAGAGTTAGCTTGCCAATTTGTTCGCCAAGGAATCCCTCACCCTCATTTGGCCAACTACTTGGCGAAAATATGTGAGAGGAAGGCTAGTGTGGGCAGCCAACCAAACAGGCCTTGTGCGTGCGCCTTCTGCTCAAAGGGGTCCCTCGGGAACTGTGTGGATTTGGACTAGTGGTCTCTGGTCCACCGTTCGGGTTTACTGCAGGAAATGGCAAAAGGAAATTATAGTCGATAAGCATTCAGCAAGAAGTCAGAACAGCAGATGTTCAAGAAAGGGATTCCGGTACGTTTCCTGTATCATAGCACTACCATTCGCATGTTCGCACTCACAATTTAGTTGCAGTTAGTAATGACTTCAGTATACGATACTCACAGTGTCCCGATATACTGATGGGCCACCATTTGGAGCTTATTTTGCTGGCAGACGCATACGGATCAGCTGCTACGGTGCGGAGGATGAAGTGGCTGCCGGCGATCAAGAAAACCAGCAGAATAAGTTGGATCTCGAGCAGCTGAGTTGGTCGACGGCAAGTGCTCGGCCTTGTGGCCATCTTCTTTCCAGAGTCTCGAGTAGGGGGGAGAAGCTGAAGTTGTACCGATGGGAGCCCAACGCTGCACTCACAATACTTGAATCCATGACGAGGCTTCTATACTGCCAAATCTCCAGTTAGAGACCGGGACTGTTGGAAAATTTCGAGTCCCTCCAAAGTTGAATTAGTCTTTCCGCTACGTTTGTGCAGGCGAAAATCGGAAAAAGAACCACTATATCTCCAGTACTAGCCAGTCACAGAAAAGAGAAAACACAAGAAACAGAAAGCTGTGAAAAGATAAGGGAAAAAAAACTTAGAGCCCATCTCAGGAATTGAAAGGCATAGAAATTAGATACTCCCTCCGATCCAAATTACTTGACTCGCACTTAGTACAACTTTGTACAGTATCATAACATGTTGGATGATCTTACAGAAATTCAAAACATGAGAATGTGTGATAGATATTGGTTGGTTGCCGCGGAAATAGTGAAAATGGCAAGTCTTTTGCCTTATTTCAAAAACAAAACCATATTACGACAGAAAAAAATAGCATTTTCCTTTATTGTTTAGAAAACAAGCACAACTAGATGTTTTCCATAGTTTTCTTTCAACGTCAATAATGTTCATTTTAAAACATGTAAAATCATAAGTTTTGCTTGTAAATTCAACGCAACTGTTTTTTTTCATGTTCCAATTAAATTTGTTAACATGATTTGCATGCGCAGGGTTAATAGTACCAGGTAGATAAATGAGAATAGATGCAAGACATTTTTTTTTACCCAGAAATCCAATAGACCTATTCATTGTGTTACAAAAATTCTCTGGGCAAAGAGGCAGACAGTGTGCTTTTCATTAGTATTGGAAGATGTTATTACAAAACTAAGACCTATCGAAAACCCCTACCAAGGCGATTCCGGGATAATAGGAAACGAAGAGGAATACAGAAAGGAAAAAAGCATATCATGTGTGATTGAACGGCAGCAGTGACTCGTCAGTGGCAATAGATGGCAGAATGGAGTTGAGACGGCGAAATCGCTGTGCATGAGAACACCAGTCCACGTTCGAAGGTTTAGCATGGAACTGTGGAAGAAAGGAGGAAGTATGACCTAGTAGTTTTTTTTTTCTCGTGATCTTCCATAATGAGATGTTTGGATGAGAGGTGCAGAGAAGGCAGGCTTCCAAGCTAGCCCCTTTATAAATATAGACGTGCTCACTGCTACCGCTGAAACCTGTAGGAGAGCACAACTCGGTAGCAACATACACAACCGTGGTAGCACACAGATGGCTCCTGTACCTGTAGGGACTCTCAGTTCATCACTCTTCACAGTCACCGTCCTCCTCACTTTCTTGATGTATTTTGCCCCTGCTTCTTCACTAGATGGCACCACACTGGGTGACAAATCCGGTAAGGACTTCCAGACACTCCTATGTCTCAAGAACCACCTTTCTAACAATACCCAAGCCCTTGTCTCGTGGAACGACACCCTCCACTACTGCAGTTGGCCCGGTGTCACCTGTGGCAAGAAGCACACGTCTCGCGTCACAGCACTTGACCTTGAATCGCTGGGCCTAAACGGCCAAATACCACCCTGCATTGGTAATCTCACTTTCCTCGCAAGAATCTACCTACAGGATAACCTGCTGAATGGCGCGATCCCGCCTGAGGTAGGTCAACTGCATCACCTTGTTGAGCTCTCCCTTCCACATAACAATCTTGCTGGCGCAATACCGAACTCTTTTTCTACCTGTTCTAGCCTTCAGATAATTGATCTCGGAAGCAACTCCCTCCAGGGGGAGATACCTCTAGGTTTGACCAACTGCTCAAATCTCACAGATATCTTACTCCATAGCAACATGCTCCATGGAAGCATTCCGGATGGGATTGGCATGCTTCCAAAGCTTTTAAATCTGTACGTTCCTGGCAACAAGTTGACGGGCAGTATTCCTTACTCACTTGGAAGCAGCTCATCACTCTACTATGTCGTCCTGGCAAAAAACAGCCTAACTGGAGGCATCCCACCTCTCTTAGTAAATAGTTCATCACTTGGATGGCTGGACTTGGGAAGCAATGACCTCGATGGAGAGGTACCTCCTTCTCTCTTCAACAGCACGTCTCTTGAAATCATAATTTTGGAAGGAAATAACTTCTCTGGGTCTATTCCCCCTTTCTCACCCATCTCGCCATTGCGAACTCTGTCCCTATCCTTCAACAACCTCAAAGGAAAAATACCTTCCTCCATAGGGAACTCTACTTCCCTTCTTGAGCTTTTGCTTGCAGGGAATAACTTGCAAGGAAGCATTCCGTGGAGTTTAAGTAAAATCTCCAACTTGCAAAAATTAGATCTGAGTTATAACAACTTTACAGGAGCCGTTCCAAGCTCTCTCTACAATATATCGACACTCACGGACCTTAGCATGGGCATTAACAGCCTAACAGGAGAAATTCCAGAAAATATTGGCCACATCCTTCCAAGAATCCGGAGATTCATTGTTCAAGGAAATAGATTCGGAGGTCGAATTCCCACTTCAATGGCCAAGGCCAAAAATCTTCAGAAAATCAATCTCCGTGACAATGCATTCCATGGTATTGTTCCTTATTTTGGGTCTTTGCCCGACTTAACCGTACTAAATCTAGGCAAAAACCAACTCGAAGCTGGAGACTGGACTTTCCTCCACTCGCTCACCACTTGTGCAAAGCTGGTACGTTTACATTTAGATGCAAACAACCTACAAGGTGAACTGCCAAAGTCCATAGGCAATCTTCCAAAAAGCTTAGAATCTCTATTGTTGACAGCCAATAAAATATCTGGCACCATACCGCATGAGATAGGGAACCTTAGTAGCCTCAGACTTCTTTACATGGAGCACAATTTGCTTACTGGAACCCTTCCGGACTCACTTGGAAACCTTTCAAACTTGTTCGTTCTAAGCCTATCAGGAAACAAGATATCTGGCCAAATCCCACTTTCAATTCATAACCTTGGTCAATTAAGCGAGCTCTATTTGCAGCAAAATAATTTGAGTGGGCCCATCCCAGTTGCTTTAGCAGAGTGCAATAGGTTACAGACCCTAAACCTCTCTTGCAACTCATTTGATGGAACAATACCAAAAGAACTGTTCAGTATTTCCACACTTGCTGAAGGTCTTGATCTGTCTCACAACAAACTCTCTGGACATATACCTGTGGAGATTGGCGGATTAATCAATCTTTCCCCCCTAGACATTTCCAACAACCTGCTGACTGGAGAAATTCCCTCAACTCTGGGCGAGTGCCTCCATTTAGAGTCCCTCCACCTGGAAGGGAATCTACTTGATGGGCGAATCCCTCAATCTTTCGCTGCATTGAAAGGCATCAGTGACATGGACCTTTCTCGAAACAACTTGTCTGGTCAAGTTCCAGACATCTTTGAGGCCTTCAGCTCCATGTCACTTCTCAATTTGTCATTCAACAACCTGGAGGGACCCATGCCAAGTGGTGGGATCTTCCAAAATGCAAGCAAGGTGTTCGTCCAAGGGAACAAAGAGTTGTGTGCCGTCTCGCCGCTATTGAGATTGCCACTTTGCCACACGGCTGCATCTCAACAAAGACACAGATTCCACATTCTGAAGATAATAGGGTTATCTGCTCTTGCTTTGGTCGTGTTATCATGTTTTGGAGTCATTTTTTTGAAGAAGAGAAAGAAAGTCAAACAAGAAGATCATCCATCCTTCGAGGAGTTAAAGAAGTTCACGTATGCTGATTTAGTAAAAGCAACAAATGGTTTCTCTTTAGCCAACTTGGTTGGTTCAGGAAAGTATGGGTCCGTATACAAAGGTAGAATTGAGTCTGGAGAACATGCAGTCGCTATCAAAGTTTTCAAACTTGATCAGCCTGGAGCAACGAAAAGTTTCGTTGCTGAATGTCAGGCACTCAGAAATACTCGTCATCGTAATCTTGTAAGGGTGATCACAGTATGCTCGACAAGTGACCTGACAGGACAGGAGTTCAAAGCTCTTCTCCTTGAATATATGGTTAATGGCAACCTTGAAAGTTGGCTCCATCCAACACTCCACGAGCATCATCTGAAAAGGCCCTTGTCTTTGAGTTCAAGAATAGCAATAGCAGTGGACATAGCAGCTGCTTTGGATTACCTGCATAACCATTGCGTGCCTCCAATGACACACTGTGATCTGAAGCCAAGCAATGTCCTTCTGGATGATGTCATGGGCGCATGTGTTGGTGACTTCGGGTTGACTAAGTTCGTACACAGTTATACTTCTTCCAGGATTGATGGTTCTACGAGCTTAGTGGGACCAAGAGGATCAGTTGGATACATTGCACCAGGTAACAATTTCTTCATATATTTATGGAAAATGTCTTATAGGCTCAATGAAATTTTACTTTATTTTCCCGAGAATATTTTTGATTCTTGTGCTCCAATTTTATTGTGTTAATTAATGGTTTCAATAACTATACATATTGCAGAATATGGCTTTGGGAGCAAAATCTCCACCGAGGGTGATATTTACAGCTTTGGAGTCGTCATCTTAGAAATGCTCACAGGGAAGCGTCCAACTGATGAGATGTTTAAAGATGGCCTGAGCCTTTACAATTTTGTGGAGAAATCATTTCCTGAAAAGATTGGCGAGATTTTAGATCCGAGAATCATTCCCTATTATGCAGACCAAGATGAAGAAGCGGGCAGGGCTGTAGATCAAGAAAATCATCATCAAATGGCTGGAATGAGCTGTATCATCAAGCTTGTTAAGATTGGCCTCATGTGCGCTGCAGAGACACCCAAATATCGCCCCTCAATTCAGGACGTTTACATTGAGGTCACCGCAATCAAAGAAGCATTTTCGGCACTGCAGGGTTGAGCAAAACTACAGTCGTTTTCTATTGCTCAAACGTTGCTCCTGCAGGATGACCTAAGACTAGTTTATTTTACATAATGCTTTACTTTTTCTCAAAAGAAATCCTGTTATGTCGTGGATCTTCTTCCACTTTACAAGTAAATCTATGCTCGTCGTGTATGTAAATTGTGGTTCAACCTATATCTCAAATAAAAAGTTCAGCACATGAACTTTCCTTCCGACTTGGATTTCCCTTTTTCTTTCAAAACTAGTACTAGTAAACTGCAAGTGCTTAAGCCTAACTATCCACTAATCACACCCTTAACTCGCACAGCAGTACATCGAATTGTTAAACTTGAAAGCTGAAACCCATATGCAAGGATATCACATCTTCCTAGTACAAATTTATCAGAGAGCAACAAACCTCGCCCTTGACGGACGCCCCGACGACGCCTGCGCAATGGAGCACAGGGAGGTGTGCGGGGGATGCAGTGGATGGATTCCTGCTGCCACTGAATGCCTCGTGCGCCGGCCGGGTCGGCAGTGGGGCGGACGCGGGCGCGGAGGAGGATGCGCTTCCACAGCAACACAGCGGTGTCAGGAGGTCGGTGTGTGTGAGCAAGGTGTACTCCGTCACGTAGTTCGCCGCCGCCGCCGCCGCCTCTTCCTTTCGGCGAGCTTCCGCGGACTGAGTGGAGGAGTCTGCCGCGTCTACGAAGCTCCTGGAATCACCCCAATCCTAGGCCTTCGCTTCTTCCCAATCCTTGCTGTTGCAGCTTGCAGGGGCAGAAGGATGAAGGAGCCATAGATCCCATCCAGATGATGAGCCACCTCCAATTGGAAAAAAATTATATGAGATCAGGTCTCATATAAACCAGGTGAGACCCGCCCTGATGGATGACATGTGACATTCACAAATCACAAAGCATCTAATCTCTCCTCCTGATTTTAGATGGGGGTGGGGTAAATGCTTTGTGATTTGTGAATGTCACGTGTTATCCATCATGATCGGTCTCACCTGCTAACCCGTGAGACCTCGTCTCATAGAATTTTTTCCCCATCCAATGACCCCTCCGACGGATCGCCTTTCCCCCTCCCGCCGAAAGCGAAAGGCAGGTCGCCCCCAACCCAACCGCGGCTGGACGGGCAACAATATGCCGGCGCTCGGCGGCGTCCCTACCAGACCTCATCCGACCAGGAGCCAAGAGTGAGGCCAACGCGCCACCCTAGACGGGCGTCCGGTTCGTCCGCTTTTTGTCCGCTTGGGGCGGAAAAATGGACATGGTTGTCCGCTTGCGGTCGTGCGGCTATCGGTGCGCCCAACGGGCACGTCTAGTCCCAAATCGTCCGGAGTTGTGGACTTCGATTTTTTGCCAATAAATAAATAAATTTGCAAATAATATGAAAACATAAATATAAACATAAAACGTACATACGTCCGAACACTGACCATGGGCCGACACCCACTGAGTCAGCCATCTCCGGCGTCATGCATGACCAGCTCCATCGCTGGCCAACTAGACGAGGGTTCCACGCGGCGATGGGCGCCTCCTCCAGCACCTCCTCCAGCACCTCCTCCTTGGCGCCAACGTCCATCTCCGGGATGGCCACGTCGTCGGCCGTCGACAGGGCCAGAGCGGTTTCCATGCCATCATATTGCCGCTCGTCGTGCGTGTTCATGGAGTCCTCCATGACACACCTCATGAGGCAGGCCTCCTCCTCCTCGGTCATGGGCGGCGGTGGCGGGGACGGGAACGGAGAAGGCGTCGGTGTGATGCCGCGCACATGCCTACGGCCCCGCATTTGGGGAGGGCTGTCATCAACACGAGGAGGACGCGGGCTAGGAGGACGACCGACAAAAAAAGATTGACAACGCTGGTCATGCTCGTCGCGGAGCCACGTATCCCATAGCGGCGAATCTATGGCGTACCTGGAGTCCTCCAGTAGATCCGGTGGGAGGCGGGCGCGCCGTCGGTTGATCTCCTCGCGGCGGGCGTGGCCGCTCGCGGGCACTGGAGGGATCGGCACGCGGTCGGCGGAGAGATGCCAGTTGTTTGGCAGGTGGACATCTTCCCACGGCACCGGCGTCGCCGTCTCCAAGTAACAACGGCATACATCAACATGGATGTAAGGCCTGTCGCGATGCCCGGCTGCCGGAGGTGCCATCTGGAAAGCTGGCGGAGCAGGTGGCGGAGAAGGCGGTGCGGGCGGCGCAGATTTGCTGGAGCGGTGTCTGCCAGAGGAGGAGATGGCCTTGTGGTCATGCTTCCCCTTGATCCAATGCCAGCCCATGGCGTCGGCGGGAGGTGGACGAGCGGGGTGCGACGGCGGGAAGGTGGCTAGGGTTTGCTCGTGTCGGCAATGGAGGATGCATGCCGGCTTGGAAGTGGAAGTTGTGGACTGGCCGCTCCACGGCTTCCACATTAAGAAGGACGGCGACCGTGTCAATGACAACCGAGTCTCGCCGTGTGTGCGCATTCAATTTGGATGGTGGAGGTAGGTGGAAGGCCGTCACATGTCCCCAAGGCAGGCGCCGAGCCCGTCCGTTCGACGTCCGTGTGGACACAAACCGGGAGCATGTTTACGTCGGAAATGGGGCGGGCCGGACACAAAACGGACAAAATTTAAGGATGTGGTCACGCGTTGTGCCGTGTCGCCTGTCTGTTTTGGCCCAAGCGGACGTACGCGGGCATGATGGAGTCGCACGTTGGAGTTGGCCTGACCGGAATGGCAAATTCCATTTGGAATTAGGGTGGAGAAAGTCCAAGCAGTGCCAGAGGTTTTTTTATTTACTAGAACAATGCCCTTACGTTGCAATTGGCCCAAGCTTGTGATTTACCTGTTCATAATAATATGATTGTGTAAATAAATGGTCATCAAATTCTACTTGTGAATTACCTTACATTTTGATCAGAAGTTTGGTGAGTCAATTGAAGTGAAATTGGTTCAGAAGGTAAGTAAATTAAGTTGAATGATTATCATACAATGAAGCTTGAACAGAGGAATGATGGGAAAAAAGGTCAAATAGGAAGCTTACGTTCTTTTTAAGTAGTAGAGATTTCTCGAGCGAGCAGGCAGTGTCAGAGTTAAATTGGTTCGTGAATTCAGATGTGTAAAGATTTTTAAGAGCATCTTCAATGGAAGATGTAGATGGAAAATAACTATCTTTTGCATCTCTGAGGCCAAAAGACACCTCTTCAATAGATGATGTAGATTAAAAAAATCTCCACCTCTCGGAGAGATGTAAAATACAACACATCGCGATGCAAAGTTGCATCTCCGCCGACTCGAGATGTAAAAAAGAGTAACCGCGAGCCAACCGCCAACTGCCGCTTCATTTCGTTTTCGCACGACCGCCGCTCGTCCGTCTCCCGCCCCTCCGCCGCTCGCCCGCCTGCCGCCGCCGCCATGGCCGACGTCGATGATCCCGTTGCCTTCTCCGACTTTGTTGCCGGTGCCCTAAGCCACCTAGCCGCGGCCACCGCCTTTGCACAAACTTTCCCCAATCTAGCCTCCGCCTCCATACTGCTGCTGCCTGAATTTGCCCCACCCCGGCCGGTCACCATCGTGCCGGAGGTGCCTACAAACAAGCAGCGGGGCACTAAGCCACGTGGTGGAGGCATGAAGTGGCCAACGGTGCGGGGCCACAACCCGGCAGGGAACCAACCTCGGTCGGCCAAAATCTCGAAGCCAGACGCGGCTACGACAATTGATTCGCAGCCGCCACCGACCTTGGCGTCCTTCTCCGGCCATTGAGCTCCTCATCCACCTCCTCCGCCACCTGCGGCGGCCATGGAGGAAGATGTGGCTTTCTCTACTTTCCGCAATTATTAAAATGTTCCCCTGTTTGATGATGAAATGTTGATTTTGTTGGGGAACGTAGTAATTTCAAAAAGAAATCATACGAACACACAAGATCATGGTGATGCATAGCAATGAGAGGGGAGAGTGTCGTCCACGTACCCTCGTAGACCGTAAGCGGAAGCGTTATGACAACGCGGTTGATGTAGTCATACGTCTTCACAATCGACCGATCCAAGTACCAAACGTACAACACCTCTGCGATCTGCACACGTTTAGCTCGGTGACGTCCCACAAACTCATGATCCAGTAAAGCTTCGAGGGAGAGTTCCGTCAGCACGACAGCGTGATGATGGTGTTTATGAAGCTACCGACGTAGGGCTTCGCCTAAGCACTGCTACGATATGACCGAGGTGGATTATGGTGGAGGGGGTACCGCACACGGCTAAAGATCAATGATCAACTTGTGTGTCTTGGGGTGCCCCCCCCTCCCGCCCCCTTATATAAAGGAGCTAGGGGGGAGGCGGCCGGCCAAGGTTGAGGGCGCGCCAAGGGGGGAGTCCTACTCTCACCGGGAGTAGGACTCCTCCTTTCCTAGTAGGAGTAGGAGAAAGGGGGAAGGAGGAGAGAGAGTGGGAAAGGAAAGGGGGCCTGATATGTCTCCAACGTATCTATAATTTTTGATTGTTCCATGCTATTATATTACCTGTTTCGGATGTTTATGGGCTTTATTTTATACATTATTATCATTTTTGTGACTAACCTACTAACCGGAGGCCCATCCCGTATTGCTGTTTTTTGTCTATTTCAGTATTTCGAAGGAAAGGAATATCAAATGGAGTCCAAACGGAATAAAACCTTTGGAAGCGTGATTTTTGGAACGAACGTGATCCAGAGGACTTGGAGTGCAAGTCAAGAAGCAGTCGAGGCGGCCACGAGACGGTAGCCCCCCCCCTATAGGGCGCGCCCCCTGTCTCATGGGCCCCTCGAGCGGCCACCGGCGTACTTCTTCCTCCTATATAAGCCTACGTACCCCGAAAACATCCCGGGAGCAACCGAAACACAATTTCCACCACCGTAACCTTCTGTATCCGCGAGATCCCATCTTAGAGACATCGCCGACGTTCTGCCGGAAGGGGGATTCCACCATGGAGGGCTTCTACATCAACACCATATCCCTTCCGATGAGTTGTGAGTAGTTTACCACAGACCTTCGGGTCCAT